GCAGTGTGTAGATATAAAGTAAAGCGGGATTAATGATTCAAAGAAATGTTTATACATACATTTTGCCATTTTATGCATTATTACTTAGCTATTTGAGAAACAATTAGCTATTTTATTACATGATGCCTTAGTTTGGTCTGTAACTTACTCCCCTTTAACCATTCAGGCACTAAAATTTAGTTAAAATGTGATGTACCTTTAACAGGAATTGCAGACGTCAGTTTTAGTTAGTGATTGATGTTCATACTTTGCGCACTTGTATATCTTTTTCTTTTAAAAAAATGACGTTAATTGAATGAGTACTCTGACCCTCTCCCTTACTTACGTTTATGAATAAAATCCATATATTTGTCCCTACTATGAATATTTATTCATGATCAAGTGTCTGAAAAGAAAACCTTTTAAATTAGTTAAAAGGAAATTGATTTTTTTTTTTAAAGATTTCTTAGATTAAACAAACAGGGTTGGTACATTTTCTCATATATTTTGTTAAATTGGTTCCCTGCACGGAGGAATTGGTTTCTTTTAACTATTGAATATTCCAAAAGCAATCTCCCATTGAAGAAAACGTTCCTTTAAATTAACATTGCACCTAGGTCTAGGATCTATCTCTAGTAGGTAACTGGAGTCAGGAAGAAAATCACAAATTGGAATGACTCATACATTTAAGCTGTCAGTTTTAAGACTGCTTCACTGCACTTTAAGTGCCTCCACAGTCACCAGAGTTTGATCCATAAAGCTTTTATTGAAAAAATAATTGGACTGAGGACTGACACTACAAAAGTTTTTTCAGGAAAGCTACCACTACCATGTCGTACAGTTAACATGAAGCTGGCCTTGTGACGGACTGCCGACCTGTCCAGGTTATGCCCAACGTCCTGTCCGATTGTGGTGGGGATAGGCGCCACCCCCCTGCATATCATACTTGAACTATAGTTGTATAAAAAGAATGGATAAATGTTCTCAACTTATTTAGATGTGGATTTTTTATTTTCTGACTTTTCTTTTTTCTTACTTTAAAATGCTGATCCTCACGCAAGACAATGATTATCTGAACTAAGTTGTTGTAAACTTTTATATCGTGCACACAAAATGCACCCTGCACAACTGATACTTTTTGAATTAGTCAAAGTAATCCACATTTTATATGTATTATGCATTTCTAGCAAGCAGCACAACAATAAATGTTGTTAATGCTCTTCCTGATTCAGTTGCCACCTCTATTGTTTGTATAAAACGAGAAGCTTTTGAAAGGACTTTTATGGACTTCCTTTCACATTAAAAAGAGAACTTGTGACGTCTCAGGGGGAGCAGCAGATGAGCTGTGAAGAATTGCAAAACAAATCTGTGGGTGTAATTTGCCCAGACATGCAACTAGTTCCCCTAAAATAACATTTCCAATTCTATTCAGTGTAGCTGATACACAACAGTGCCTTTAAAGAATCATGTTTAACTTCTTTCTTTTTAACAACACTTTTTGCACAATTGCAAAACTCAGGGTACTATGGTTTCCGCATGAACAACACCTATGTTTTTCTTAGAGTCCTTTAAGATCACCATGAGAAAGATTTCATTGAATTGATTCCTCCCCTTTTTCTACTTCCACTTTCCTTCCCTCAACACAAGACACAGCCGGGTGTGCCCGATGCAGTTGTGCTAGTTCTACGATAAGATCTACTTTTTTAAGTCTACAGTGTTGTTGTGGTTTTTTGCACTTCAGCAGTATGAAGCAGAAGCTCGGCACAACTCAGGTCTAGATGTAAGTTTGATCTACATTTCTGTGTTATAGCATTACATGATCTATATGATATTCTTAGCTTTGTATTTAGAAATCTGCATGTTTACCTTCAGCTGTCATAAGCTCCAGCTTAACAGATTTTTCTTTTTAGTCCTCTTGTTCAAATAGGGTACTTTCTAAAAGAATGATATGCAAATCAATAGTTATTCTTTATTTTAGTTTAGATGAACTTGCTTATGCTTTAGGATAGTGTGCCTGTAGTTCCAGTACATGGGCATTTATTTGACTAAGAGTGTGCAGAGCACATTTGTGAGGAGCACGTTTATATAATGACTACGGCATATGTTTGTCGTCAGTAGTTCTGGCTCAGTGCACCACTCTGACTAGAGCTCTCACAACAAATGCCATGAAGTCACGGAAGTGAAGGAAATGAAGAAAAATAGGCACCCTTTTTACTGCACACACAGTCTTGATGTTATTTAGTTCCCATGACAGAGCTAGAACTGAACTGAGGTGATAAAGTCTTTTCTGATTAGGCAGACAAGG